TATATGAACTAGTCTTAGACTGAAAACTTAACACACAGTGTAGTTGGTGTAGCAACCTATATGAATCAAAACACTTAGTGTGTGTTAGTGGTTTTAAAATCACAATACACCCCCACAATTCTTGTGGTTATCGCTGTATTGCGCTTACTAAGTCATGCGTGTGCCCGGTATTCATGAGTGCTCTAGAAATATTGCAAAGATCTCATACAAGCGGACACACTCGATACTCATATAGGTGACTTCATCATGCGTATGCTGCAAATCATACACCACCCGTAAGGGATATGAAATCGTTAAAAACTTTGTTTAGACTAAATTTCGTACACCACATAGAATTTTAATTACAAAGTTTAACCTCTCAATGATGCAGTATCTAGCACTTTCACTTATAAACTATGGGAATGGACATAATTGATTTTAATCAATTTTAGTGCTAGCAGAACTAACAAGTAACTTGTTTTTACCCATATGAACCTTATTCACGGGATCTCCAATCACAAATGTTAGGTTCCATCACCTGTTTATTTGCAAGTGCCTTAAGGCCTATTCCCCTTTATGTTTCTAAAATCATATTTCTCGCTAAGGGTTTTGTCAAAGGATCTGCTAGATTCCGTTCTAACTTCACATAGTCAATGGAAATTATTCCATTCTTTAGCAGCTGCTTCACTAAATTATGTCTCAATTATATATGTCTATTTTTTCCATTGTAGTTCTTATTTTTATCTATAACTATTGTCGATTGGCAATAATAGTGAATTGATCGGTTTCATTTCTAATGGAATGTTTGCTAAGAAGTTTTTCAACCACTCAGCTTTGGTTGATTTTCATGTAATCGCACCACCCCCGAGTATGAATACATAATCACTAGTGGATTTTGTCTCATATGAATCAGAGATCTAGTTAGCATCACTGTATACAATGGGAAATCCACTATATTCAATGGCATAATCCATTGAACCTCTTAAGTATCTCATAAGTCTTGAAAATGCATTCCAATGTTATTGATTAGGACATTGAGTGTACCTACTCAGTCTACCTAATGCATAAGCAATATAAGGTCTAGAAAAGCTCATTAAATGTAGTAAGCTCCCAATTACCTAGGCATACTAAGGTTGAGAGATTGAGTCTCCTCTATTTTTCTTTAACTTAGAGTTAGCGTCATAAGGGGTATTTACTGGTTTGACGTTATAACGCTCAAACTTCCTAAGAAGTTTCTCAATGTATTATTCTTGCGATAATAAAATATTATCGCCCTTCCTTATGATTTTAACTCCCAAAATCACATTGGCTTCACCCATGTCTTTCATTTCAAATTTAAATCAATTAGATCAATATGAATTAATCCTAAAAGTTCAATTTGACGTTCTACATATTGACAACTTTTCTTGGTTATTTTAGATTCTATACATATATCACATTTCTTATTTTGTTTATCATGAATATTAACTGATCCTAATCGTTGCAATTTCATAACATACGAATAATTCACGTGTCTTAGTCTAGCATGTCACAGATCATATGAATCAATAATACAAGTAGAAAAAAAAGATTCATTAACAACCTCAGAGATGTTAAGTACAAAAAAACCTTGATCACAATATCTCTTCCCTACAAACACATTATTTTTTGTCATAATAATCTTATCAGATTCGAATGACACTTTAACCCCAACTTTTTCCCAGCAGTGCTACAGAGATTAGATTAGCTCTGATTAATGGCACATGTAGCACAACACTCAAGGCCAGAGTCTTTCCAGATGTGAGCTATAAAAGAATTTTCCTTTTCCTAAGACAGGAGTTGTCCTGGAATCACCGAGATAAACATGTTCTTCTCCATCCCCACACTAGTGTAGGAGGTAAAAGCATTTCTATTTGCACAGATGTGTCTGGTAGTACCAGATTCTACCACTCATTTGCTCACATTTGTCACAAGGTTTATTTGAGAAATGATCGCAATAATTATATCTTCTCCTTCGGCTAAATTTACCTTAGGAAGATTGTCGTTTCTCATTCTACGTCTATATTGAAGTGCATGATGACCTGGCTTTCCACATACAAAGCAATTTCTCTTCTTCTTGAAGGTGGGGTTAGATCCATTAGGACGAGAATTTAAAAAAAAATCTTGTTATAATAAGGTTTTTTTTTTCTCGTACCATTTTGGAGTTGGTTTGTCTTCTACCATATATGTCTTAGCTGATAATGTCTTAGCCCTTCAGCAGCACACTCCTTCCGGTTGGTATCTTCGATGATGATGTGTGTGATCAAATCTGCTAGTGACATTTTTTTATGTATATGCTTATGTTGTTGTTTTCAATAACGAACCTTTGTCTTCTAGCATCTCCCAGTGGTAGTTTCCAAGAACAAACCTTTGTCTCACGACATCTTGTTCGAATGAACCCAATCTTCAGTTTGTTTAGCAGGAGTATTGGAGTCAGATTTGGTAGTTGTAAGAGCAGAAGTCACCCCATACATGTCTAAGAGAGTAGAAATACGTTCTTGCCAGCGACAAAAGTTTTGCCCAGTGAAAACTTCAATTTTCGAAACGTCCGAGAATGGTTTTGCAAAGACAATTTGAGTTCCAGAAAATGTTGTTTGTCTTTTCCGATGTGGAGTTGTTGTTGGTATTCATAATGGCAGTCATAAGTCCTTAAGATTATTGTAAAATCTGATAGAGACACGAACAAATTTTATTCCTGAAGCGTGTATAATCACTGTTCTTAAATACTTATTCGTGGTGTATTGCGCAAGTCCCCCAAGAACAGGAACTTCTCAAAATTTTTAAGGATCTCAGAAACTAGTAAGAAACTCTTAAAGAAGTAAATAAACTTAGGATAATAGTAGAACAGAAAGAAAATAGAGAAAATGAGAGAGGTGTTTTGAAAGACTGTGAAGTGATCTCTATTTATAGATGTAGATTGAGTTCAAAATCCTAATTACCTATGTTACGTGTAAAGTTTACGTAACGTTTTAAGTTTTACAATATCTTTTATTTGACTACAGACTTCTTATAGAGTTTTGCAGTTGATAGTACGAGTTTTTTAGAAAAAATTATAAAGTGATTCTAAATAATACGATTTTTATATACCAAAATTATTCTATCTAAGACAACTTTACTAAAAAAAATTAAACGTCATTTTTGAACTCCATATAAATTGATAAGGAAATTACACCACATTGGTAATTTTGCCGTGGAATGAAGAAGACGTTGAGTGCATGCTGTGACATTGAAATCCAAAGATATGGTCAGAAATAATGGTACTGTTTATTTCACTTTGTAAAAAATGTAAAAACTTATTGGATAGAATATTCCCTTTCACTATTAATTTTTTTTTCTTTTTATTGAAAACTCACAATTTTTTTATTATAATGATAAAGAAAAATAATATTAATACTAAAAATAAAAATATGAATAATAAATTATATTAATATTAATTAAAAATTATAAAAGTTAATAATAATATTTAAAAAATAACAAAAATAAAGCACTTGAAAAATACAAAACAAAAATAAACCATCAATTTATTATAGGTTTTCTCACAATCAAAGAAGTTGAGTACTCGTACCTACAGATAAAATATAATTTATTAAATACAGTGAAGATTGGATAAAAGAATTATTATTATAATATACGTGTAACCTATTACAGGATGGATAGGTTTCAATTCAAAACAAGTTTGTAGTAATTTTTATCCAAATGGATGAATTTTAACGGTTTAATTAAATCAATTTCTTTCGTAATTTAATTATCCGATTTGTATTAAATCAATTCCATTTAAATTGGACGATTGAATTAACTATGAAAATAAACAAATAAAAAAAATTGAATATGTTAGACCATTGTCTAAAAGTTATAGTCTATAAGTTAATAAAAATATAAGCAACAAAGAATATTATGTAATCTTCTGGATCAAACCAAAATCAAAATTTGAGATTAAACAAATCGGATTTAGATTTTTCAATCCATTATTTATCAATAGTTCAAATCAATTAATATTTTTTGTTTACATTTGTTAAATTCATCTAATGATATAAATTTGTACGGCGTGTGAAAGGAGAAATAAATAAATAAATAAATAATTGTTATATTATTTCTTCTTTCATTTGTATTTTTTTACTAATAGAGTTGAATATGAAATAAAAACCTTTCATTATCTAAGTCAAATTCCACTAAACAAGTTGTTTGTTGACTTTGACATACACATACTTATTATCATTTTAACAGCCATATAAATTAAAAATCAACGTTTGATTTATATATTAAAATCAAGAGAATCACATTAAACATGATTTTAAATTTGATATACATTAGAAAGACAATTAATATTCAGTTGATTAATTTCATATTGCATCCTACAAGAAGTTAATTAATTAGCACAAGGTTCAAGTGTGATAGTTGATATCAATAGATTTGTGTGATTAAAATCAATTCACTAACCTTATCAGAATCTCAATCATTTACTTTCTCCCCTAGTAACTGTAATTTTATTTTTTCCTTTAAAAAGAAAAATCAACCATAAACTTTTACCATCAGTAAATACTCAAATCATAACATAATAAAAATGGATCTTGCTGGAAAAAAATTAAAAAGAATCTAACATCAACTCCTTTGGCAGAACCACATTACAAGAACAACAAAATTAATGTTTAAGGCTAATGCTCAATCAAATAGAGTCTAATGTAAAGCAAATTGTGCAACTTTATTGTTTCACTCAGCCCAGAAGTGAAAATTTGGACCCAAACTGGCTACATTTGTTGTATACTGGATTTTCTTCAGGCAAATTATTTCAGATCACTGCAAAAGTGTTGCTCATGCTTCGCTTGTCATAATAGAAAGAAATTATTAGACGGTAACTGCCTCTCACTACACTAGTTTTCTGCGTCCACAGTAAAAATTCCTTTTGTTCCATCATGTAGCACTAGGGAGATCAATGAAAACTCAATAGGCTTAGCCTATGCATGGTTTTCTGTTATAGTCTAGCAGAAGTAGCACATGAAAGTTTTTCATAGGCCACTTGAGCGATTGGCATACTCTTGAACTAAAGCCACAAAGAGTGATGGCTTTTGGAGCAAGTTGGAAGGTGAGTCATATTCTTTGGCTCGCCCTATTAATGCAAAAATAATCACAACTTAGCCTACAAATAGTGTATGTAGTCCATGAGATGCTATGTAATAAGAGAAGAAACAATGTATCATACCTGCATCTACAACTAGAATTTTATCACAGTCCATTACTGTTGGTATTCTATGAGCAATGCTGATGATGGTACGTGCTGCAAAGTCCTCTCGGATGATCTTCTGAATCACAGCATCGGTTTGAGAATCAACAGAAGCTGTTGCCTCATCCATAAACAATAACCTGCTTTGCTTAAGCATAACCCTTCCTAAACAAAGCAACTGCCTCTGCCCCACACTCCAGTTATCTCCATTATCAACCACTATAAAGTCAAATAGCATTGCCATTAGTAAGGAAAAAAAAATGGGATGCAAGTGATATTCAAGTAGCTTATTGAAACTGGCGTAAGAACGTTTAAAACCTAAAGAGTCAAGTTTCTCAGGCTTGGAAGCCACTGCATCTTTTAGTTGACAACGTTCCAAACTCTACATCAGTGAATAGAGGGTGATGAGACTAAGCCAGATGGCAAAAGCTTTATGTATTAAATCAATGAAGTAAAGCACGAAGTAGATGGGTTTGAGGGTATTTACCTTCCATATCTCTTCATCTGTGTACTGTCCAGTTGGATCAATGTTACTTCTGACTGTTCCTTCGAAAAGAACAGGCTCCTGAGGAATGATACCAAACCGTGATCTAAGATCATGAAGTCCCAAGACAGATATGTCAATGCCGTCAATGATTATTTTCCCTCCTGTAGGTTCCACCAGCCTGAAGAAAACTTGAATCAAAGTTGATTTTCCACTTCCTGTTCGACCAACAACACCAACTTTTTCTCCTCCATTGATGCTTAAGGTAATTCCTTTAAGAACCAAAGGGGTGTTTGGACGATATCTGACCTGTTTGCCACAAGTTTAAGTGATTACTCAAAGAAAATAGTGTGTTTCTCAAAGCAGATTACAACAACAACAACAGAAGTCTCTTCCTCCAATTGAGTTCGGTTACTTGAATAATTCATCATCATTTGGCTCAAAGTAGGTTGATAATGAACAATTCATCACTATGACTATTGTCAAGGATAGTTGCAATGTTGAACAAACATATACCAATAACTTGTTTGGCAAATATCTATTACGCTTTTAATATACAAAACGCCTCTATTTTTATACACTAGGCTTTAGCAGGTTCATACAGTTATCAATGAACTCAACCTGAATAAACTTTTAAATAAGATAAAATAAAATAGTCTTTTATAGTCATGATAGAATAGGATATGAGTACGATAATCTTTTAATTGATAACAAACCAGCTTTGACATTTACATAAGATAGGATGTAAACTATTTGTTATAAAAAATTATTTATTTTAAACTAAACTATACATATTATTATTATTATTATTATTATTATTATTATTATCATTATTATTATTATTATACAACAAACCATTGTTGCAATAACATAATAGTTATGTTTTTTGCTAATCAGTGATTAGATTTTAGAATTTCTGAAATTTAACTTGAGAAATTGCAAACATAATAAAACTCTGCCTTCGTGCTTTATGACAGGTCTTAACTTAATGTTCAGATTTTAAATTGAAAAACTCTCATAAACTAGGATATACATATTGGACCAGTAACTGTAATGCATAATTAATTTTATGACAAGAAATAATAATAAGAATTTGGTTATATTCTAGATACCTGCAAGTCTTTGATATCAACATTGCCTTGACCGGGCCAATTTGTAGGAGGCAGACGATCCTTATTCTTCCATGCTGCTTCCGATGGAATATTTGTGAACTGTTTGATCCTCTCAACAGATACCAATTTGTTTTCAATGAAACAGCTCATGTATATAGCCCAAAACATCACGGAGTTTAATGACAACCCATATGAGAGTGACAAACCAACATTTTCTGCATCAATTACAGCAACCCAGTCACTTGTTTATCACAATAAAATTTTGACTGCAATATAAACACTATTGCATTACTTTTCAACACATTCTAGTCTAACATGTAGCATACACCTTGTACACTCCAAGCTAATAGTATTTTTCTACGTGTAACTACGAAAGAAAATACATGTAATGTAATAATAGTTGAATAATTCAAAGGAGCACCTCTTGAAATCATCTTCTTTCTATATTTTGCCTTACCTAGTGAACATTTTGCACACGTGGGATGCAGACGTGCTGGAAGGGTATGTTGTGATTGTTGAGTGATGTGACTACATAATTAGAACTTAGAATACAAATTTGGCAATGTATGGAAGTGGGATAGGGTGATGGCGACATTCGTTTGGTGGGTAAGAGGTGGAACCCGTTTTGTTTAAAAATGACTTTTCTTCACATAATTTTGTTTGATGTTTCTGTCCTATATGGACGCTGATACTATTCCTTATTTTACTTGTCACCAACCCAACCTAACACACGATTTCCTAGGAAAGAAAGCAATAGCAAGCGTTTGCATCTACTCCCACTCAATTTAATTCCACGTTACCTCTATCTGTCTAGCCTATATCAGAATTACAGTATGAAGCTTGTCCACATATGTTAAGAGTTTTGCATGGAATTTGATATGGAACAAATACTTGTTCCAAGGACTCTCAGTTATGATGACATTGACAGAAACAAAACCACCATCTGATCATCTTCTGAGGACCACTTAAAGATTAAACCAGATGTATGTATTGTCAAGGATCGTTGACAAATTAAGGCAAACACTTTTATAGTGAGAGTGTGTGTACCTGGCTTTATGATACCGCTGGGTAACATGATCATGAACAAGGCGGAGAAGCAAAAAACTATGCTTCCAAGAAATTCTAAGCGGAAACCCAACCACGCATTGGAACTGAAGTTGTGGAAATCCATTCGCAAATTAGCATTCACCCGTTTAATATTTTCTCTGCAAAACTCCTCCTGCTTTCTGAATGCGCGGATTGTCATGACCCCCGAAATGCTTTCAGAGAAATGGTGAATGACAGGTGCTTTTGTAATTGAATCCAAACGAGTTAACTCACGAGATGAAGCAAGATAGTAACCCTGCAAAACCAGGAAGACAAAATGAACACAGGGATTGTTAACAAAAATTACACAAGATTTGTTTAGCTGTGAGCAACTCCTGAGCTTTTACCACGGCTATATTTTCAATAGTTGAACTGAGAACTCATTAATAGTAAGCATTTATTTTTGTTTCCAGCCACAAAAAAAGACATTGATTGATAATTTAATGTGATGCTTCATTCAAATGACATTGGACTAACAGAAACACTATTTACATACCCGGTACCAAATGTTTAACCAAGCAAGAGGAATTAACAAGAAAGCTGTTGGCCACGAATTTTGACATGTGATTATGAAGATGCTGATCACTGTAATGTACATGGCTACCACAAAATTGATGAACAAGGGGATAAAGATATCTACATTGGTCTGATCAGTGGATGCCTGCAGAAGTTTAAAAAAATATAAGTCATTATACATATGTTGTCATGGCAGTAGTGTAGAAGTATAATTGTTTGACAAGCTTATCTAAAAAAACTTCTGAGGAAGAAAAATATGAAAAAATATAATGAAATTGACTTTTCTATACAAGTTAAAATTAAGCTTATGCAGAAGTTAAAAGTAAAAATTTGGAAAAACTGTACTAGAGAGTTTCTAGAAGTTATGCATTAGCTAATAAGTCAATTTCATTTTTTTTTTCTTATTTTTCTCAATTAGAAGTCATTACGGAAAACTGGTCAAAACAGGTCGAACAAGACTATTATTCCATGTAACATTTAAAATAGCATACTTCAGCCTTCAAATTCTTACCCTGCTTAGAATTCTTCCGGATGGAGTAGTGTCAAAGAAAGACATGGGGGCATGCAAAATGCTGTGGAGAATTTGAGAGAAGAAAATCTGTGCTGTCTTTAACCCCAAGATTGTAACAGCGAAGGATCTTAGAACAATCAAAATAACTGAAACTACAGTAATAATTGCATAGATGGAAATAAACATGGAAGGATTGAACAATTGAGCACGCTCTTCTGATGTTTCATATGCCAGCCAATAATCACTCGCCATCATAGATGCTTGCCACAACACAGAAAGAAACAATACTCCTCCAATGCCCCACCACCCAAAAGCCTCAGTGCAGTAGAGTTTATAGATACGAAAGCTAACTTTCCCAGTTTCTCTTTCCTCTTCTTTGATGAGTTTAGAACCTTCCTTGTCAGACTTGGGCTGGTCAAGAGAATTGCTTTCACCATTGGTTTCTCTGTTATTTGATGCTGCCTTTGGTGATTTTATTGGTTGGTTCAAATTTTCCCCAGGTATGGCCACGCCTTGCTCCACTAGTTCCATAGATGTCTCATGCGCTGCAACAAGAGCACTAAAATCCATTCCAGAAGCAAGTAGATCATCATATTTCCCTGATTGTACTATCATTCCATCTTTCATCACCTTTTGACCAAGCAAACATATGTATTAGAAATTTTGAATCACTCACCAGTTAAATTGAAGATTGAATGAGACAAAACATTAAAGGATTAGAAAGAAATACTTACCACTATAAGATCCACATTATGTAGGAAGTCTACTTGGTGTGTTACAAGTATAATTGTCTTGCCTTTTAGTGACCCCCTCACACATTCCTGTATAAAATTACTCTAATATAAATATGGATGTACTACAAGAACATAGTATAGTAATATGGTGTCAAATTAAAAAGCACTTGACTAGGAGCTGATTTCAACCCACTAAAAATCAATAACTAAAAGCTGAAGTGTGCATCATTTTTCTTTTTAATTATAAGGATTCATAAAATTGACTTTAAGTAACAAACTATCACTTGCCAGTCGTCCGGCAAATATGAATTAGTCTAACTCATAGAATGCTGAGGTGACAGATTTGATTAATCACCTTGAATATTTCTGTGCCAGTATGTGCATCTACAGCACTGAAAACGTCATCAAGAAGATATATATCAGAATCTTGATATACAGCCCTGGCAAGCTGTATGCGCTGCTTCTGACCCCCACTTAGGTTGATACCACGCTCTCCAATCTCTGTCTGGTCCCCATGCTCCATCATTTCCAAGTCTTTCTCCAAGCTACAGACTCTGACAACTTCATTGTACTTCTGCCTGTTCATTGGTAAGCCAAAGAGAATGTTTTCCTCAATTGTCCCATTTTGAATCCAAGATGTTTGTGCAACATAAGCAGTACTCCCGCAAACTTGAATCTGCCACCAAAAGATATAATCAGAAATAAACATCACCGTACAAACTAAGTACCTTTATGGTAATGAAAACAAAGTCCTCATTTCTAAACAAAAAAACATACATACCTTCCCAGAAATTTTGTGCATCTCACCAAGAATTGAAGCAAGGAGTGAAGATTTCCCCGACCCCACGGTCCCAACAATTGCTGTAAGCTCCCCCTTATTAATCTCCAGATTAATATTTTTCAAGTCTTGCAGCTCGCCATCATCATCCCAGCTAAAGGTTCCATCTCTGACCTGCACAGCAATGCGTCCATCACACCCTTCCTCTCTCTCAACCGAATCATCCACCAATTCCCTGCTAGACATGTACCTATCCAGCCTCCCAAGTGATACCAGCGCTTGTGAAAGAGATATCATACTCTGAGGAAAGGTCCTAATAGGTTCCTGCAGGATCTTAAACACAGTTGTGGTCGTAAAAACCGTGGCTGCATCAAGTTGAACTCCAAGCAAAAGCGCGGTACCAAATGTGAGAGTTGATATCAACATTGGGGTACTCCACAACACAATAATGACGCTACAGATTGAGAACATAAACTTGGAAAGCCAATCAAACTCAGACTTACGGAAACCCAAAATTCTCCCATTGAAATGCTCTTCCCATGCTTGAAACTTGATGACACGCATGTAATTAAGCATCTCATTCACTGCCTTCATCCTAGAATCACGGCTCATCATGGAATTAAATTGGTAACGCCTGTTCCTTCTATTGGCCGCTACAGCAAATGCAATGACAAGTAGAAGTCCAATCATAGCCGTAATCACCGAGGTTCCCAGACAATTGTACAGCAAAAACAAGCCGATGCCAACTTGAAATGGCATCATCCATATAGCATGTAACTGGAGCATCATATCAGAGAGTTGTTGAGCATCAACAGCCATGTAATTGACAATAGGCCCAACACCATGATCCTGCCTTGCAGAACCCGATAGCCTGAGCCCCTTCTTGTACAAAGAAGTGATGAGGGTGCATCTGATAAGCATCCCAAGCTTCTGAGAGTTGAAGTTGAAGTGGTGAGTTGTCAGAACTTCTACAAATTTCGCACAGAGGAGAACCAACACGAGGTAGTACCCTTCATACACAGAGCTACCTTTCCCTGCTGTGAAATCAACAAAACGTTGAATGAGAACTGGCCCTACAAACATCACAGATAGCCTAACAACAGCAAGGAAGGCAGTGAAGGCTATCTCCCTCCAGAAACACCGAAGCAAAGTTGTTCGTACCGGGTGCTTGGACCTCTCATCTGATTTAGGCCACTTGGATTCAAAGATAACAGACATCCTTTCAGCTCTATGATGAGGTGAAAGGGATGGAATTTCATCAATATTCAACGGTGATAAGTACCCTTTGCTCAACAACGGGTTTATCCAAATCCAGAAGGCCTTGGATATTGCAGACGCTGAAGCAAAGCCAGTAACGTTGGATTTCTCATATAGTTTTGTTTCCTCATCAATAAGGGGTTGTGTTTCTGAGCCAGACACAATCCCGGTGGACCCTTTAACCGCAATAAAAAGCAGAAAAAGTGACAAAGGTAAAGAAATGAAAGAAACCGTGTCATCAACCATGAAGCTGAAGTGTTTCCCATCTTCCACTTCCACAGAGACCAAACGTACGATCCCAGAAGCTGTGAACAAAGAAATCACAATGAAATTCGCAATCCAGTACAATCTAAGCGTCAAAGGGTGAGCAACGGCTTCAAATCTTTTCTCATGGACTATCAAAACTACAAGGACAAGTTGTGTTATGGCCTGAAGTAACCAAAACAATCCATCAGTTTGCTTCCAGGGCTCCTTGGTTGAACTGGAAAACACTAGAATGCAAGCCACCAAGTACAGTATTGTCAAAACAGAGGTTGCAATTAGAGTTAGATTAAACCATGTGGTTGTCCTGACAGAAACTCTGTTGTTTCTGATAAGCGGTTTATCAAGCTCCGAGTTGACGTTGGCGTTGGATGTGAACCTAGAATAGAGCTTTACAAGCGCAAACACAAAGAGGGTCAACAAAAGTACAACGTCAACACCAGACGAAAGAGCCCTCTGAGGACATGGAGAGAGGAAAATGAATCTCAGCAAGTGAGGCAGATTTGGAGTTGCATTGATTGAACACGAGAAAGACCTGACCCAAGTGGAAGCTGTAAAAGACATGTTTGTTTACAGCCAACCCAACAAGAAAATTCTTCGCTCTTATTACAAGGTTACAACTTTATAACTCAACTCGCATACACCTTCTTTCCCTCCACATCTGAAATAAGAAAACACGCTTCGTCAAAATTTAAAGGAGCTGAAAAAGTATGCTGGCCTTTTCATTAAATGTTTGACAGCCTGGAAACGATCATTACGAAGCAGAAAAAACAAAGTAAAAAGGGTTTAGGAATAAAGCCTGACTCCAAAACACAACTCAAACAACGGTTGCCTCTCTGTATGAGTTTTTTAACAACCCCTCAAATCCAGAAAACAGATAGACAAAAGTAAAAGGTAGTCCTTGAGCAACAAAAGTTGCTCTGGACTCGGGGGCGTTGAGGTGTTCAATGGAACAAGACACGTTCACGCTTTTATACTATGGATACGTGTACAAAAATGAAAACAAAAAGGAATTTCGCAAGCTTCCTTTTAAGTTTTCAGAACACTGAAAGAAATCTATCAATTTCTTGTAATCTTCTGAACTATGGGATCTCTCCGCAATAAATAGAAAAGGAGAAACTTTCATGGAAAGATTTTCTTTTTCATAAAAAAGTTGGTAGAGTTTAAATTACGAACTACACAAATCCTGCCTACCATACCATGTACAGATCACATGATTCAAGCTATTAGATTTCTTCAGTACTGCAATAATCACCAGCTTTCTTTCAAAACTATAGCACCTTGGTCAACAAGAAAAAAACAGTATCATATTCAGGAAACAGCTCGCAAGCTTCCCAGATGTTACAAGTCAAGTCCAAGAAGATGGTTTGACAAACTAACCAAAACAAAGAAATTTTGCCTTTGACGAATGGGCAATGAAATAATCTATAGTACGACTAAACAGCAAGGTTTTAAGAGAATTGGAATCACAAAGATATGTGATGGTAGAGAATAATAGTCCCTTGTTGATAAGAATCACAAGATGAACGTATATTCTACTGACGATATTTTATACCTTTCAGAGAGAGCAACCTCTACTTGCACCCATTTTCTTATTACTAAACAACATCGTCAAAAAAGCAGAAGTCTTGCGTGGATGAATAATGGATCTCTCTTTGATGTAGAAGTTTATTGCGTAAATATTGAAGAATGCTAAACTACTCTACTCTAGATTACTTAAAATATTAATATATATTTAAACATTAGTATAAAAATTGAGGAAGAGAGAGTGTTCAAAAGTTTATAATGAAAACATGTGATCGCCAGTAGAAGAAAACAGTGAAATGCGCAGATAATTTGGGTTGGCCGTTTGAGATAGTATAAGACAAAAGCATCCGGATTTGTAGGGCTTGATCCAAACCCTACCGACTATGGACAAAAAATCTTGAAATTAAAAAATAGTTATTACAAAACCCAATTTGATGTATTTCAATAAATGAAAAATCACCTTTTTTTTTAACCGGGTTCATAAATTCTATACATATTATTGCCGCTCAGACATTGCCACCACGACTTGATCCTGTCAAACATTAATACTCATATAAATGAAATTTTAATGAGTAATTCAAATTTTACGTATAGTTTTAAATATTTTATAATAAAATATATTATATGAGAAAAAAATAAATAAATTATGAGAATAATTTTAAATTCATTTAAAAATAAGAATTTAACTGGTTTATATTTTCTTTTCTATTATATATATATATATATATATATATATATATATATATATATATATATATATTTCCTTTTATTAATTTTACAAATATAATATCTATTTTTTTAATCAGACAAATCATTGAATTAATACAAATATGAATTCGAAATTTAAAAATTTAATCAAATTAATTTAATAAAATAAATATTATTTTAAATTAGTGTGTATGTATGAAATAAAAGAAATTAAAAGTTATTATATAATTTAAAAAAATCATCTTCTAAAATTTAAAAAACATATTTTTTTATTAGAATCACTTTAATCCAAAAATTTATTTAATTTTCTTTATTTGTAACGGTTTATTTAATTTTATATCAATTCAATTGAATTTAATTATTTAACTTTTCTTGTATCAGTTTATTTGATTTTATATCAATTAAATTAAATTTAATTATTTAAAATAATTGATAATTTTATAATTTTTGTATTAAATCAGTCAATTGGATTCCATTTTTAAATTGGTGATAATATCGCTGTACATATGCTTCAAATAAAGTTTCGATGAGATAAAATCAAAATAAATTTATTTTTATAATAATATTAGAGGTTTTTTAATAATATTATAAATTTTTTAAGTTGAAGTTGAAATATTTATCTGTTATATATATATATATATATATATATATAGGATTGATCTAATTATAATGGATATTAATCAGTATATTTGTTTTTTAATATTGGTAATTTTTTTATTTTTTAATTATATGTTCTTTTTTCCATTTTTTTTTAATTTATCTTTTTATTTTTTTCCTCTTCTCATGATTTATTGTAAAAGGAATTTTATAATTAAAGATATAATCTTAATTTTTTTTATTAATCAACATTTATTAAATTAATTATCGTAAAATTTTATTTTATTTTATTTCTATTTTATTTTAATTTCTTATAATAATAAATAAGTTCTTATATTTTATTAAATTAAATTTTGATCTATTATTATATTTTATGTGAATCACAAAATAAAATTAATTAATTAAATTAATTATAACAGGTCAAACTCAATTTCTTTTTATTATCATAAATTAAGATTATTTTTAATTGATATGAATTGAAGTTTTTCTATTATTTTTCACTAAAGTTATTTTTTGGTTAACATATAAAGTTATTTCTCAACAGAGGTCAATCAATATATTTTTATTGGAAAAAATATTTTTCAAAGTATTAGTGTGTTAGTGAGTTCTTTTATAGACACATATGTGAAAGCAAGCATTTTTTTTAATTGATGCAAGTTCCAATTTTTTTGGATGATATTAATAACAATAATTTTCTTGGTTTGAAGTTGTTGAAATTATGAACAAGTCAAGATTATTTATTAGTTGATATTATTTATTAGTTGATATTAATCAATAACTTTTTCCAGTAATATCAACAGTAATATTTAAAACGAATGAAAAGTAGACTTTTTCATTGACATCTTTCATTCTTAATTTTTCTATCAGTATTTGCAAAAAAAATTCTGTCACCAATGTTATTATTTTACAAAAATTAGTGACGAATTTTTTTCTTGACATTGATTTTTTTAGCCAGAGATATTGTTCAAAATTTCTTAATAAATGAATTTATTTAATTTTAATAAAATATTTATGATTATCAACTAAAAATAATATTTTACACTATGAAAAGTCGTAGTCAAAATAATAATTTCCACGAAAAATATAATCCATTTATTAATCGATATTAATTTTCTCAATTAATATTAGCAGTAATATTTTCGGCGAATAACAATTAGACTTTTTCGTTAACATTTTTCCATACTAATTTTCTATCAATATTTACATTTTTTTATGTCATCAAATTTATTTTGTGCAAAAATTAGTGAAGAGAATTTTTTAACTAACATGAATTCAGAAATTGATGAAAATACTTAATAAATGGCCTAACAGAATAATTTTCTTTGATGATGTAAGTCAAAATATTTATCACCAAGATCAACTAAAAATAAATGTGAATTATTAAAAGCCGTAATCATAAAAATTTTGAACATGTTATGGTCAAAATAATTTATTTTTTTTCAATTCTCTCTACTCGTTTTTCGGTTCCTACAATCCTAATGTTTTTTTTATATTTTTTTCCATCTTAGATTTTGTCCCTAATATCTTTTCGCTCAATTATTATTCACTTTTAGTATTAGACAAAATTTTGTGGGATTACATACCAGAAATGGGAGAACTGAATTAAATATTATTTAATATTAAAATAAAATCTTATATATATTAATAATTGAAATATTTTATTTAATAAATAAATTTAATTATTTTTAATTTTCTGAAATTCTGAAAAAATTGGTGTCCAAGTACATTCCAAATATTAAATGATACACGGACCTTTGTAAAGATGAGACCAATCTGCCTCGTAGGGGTAGGACGTTTACCTAAATGTCTTGATGCAAAGATAAATAAATATCCCTGCCTTCTTTCTTCTGTATTTCATTGGTGGCCTCACTGCCTTGTCATCCCTTCATCGGGGACCATCAAAATACCCTTATCTTTCTCTTAAATGATCACGACATCTCAAAACGGAATTTTTATCAAAAGTTACTTAGTATATTTTCAAAAGAAGGAATAAATATAAATATTTTATTTTATGTTTTATATATAAATGTATTCAAATTTGGTCCGACTTATTTATATAAGTCATTTTTTCTAATTTTATATAATTTTTTACTCAAATATAAGATTTTTTAAGAATAAAATTAATATTTTATTATGAAATAATAGATAAGTTACTTAGGATATTTTCAAGAGAAGTTTTTTTATAAATTTTAAAAATTTATTATCTCCCCTCATTTAATTTGTTTATTTTTATAAGTTGTTTGATGAAACAACTATAAAAAAAATAATTTAAACATTTATTATATTACTTAAAATTATTCCAATAAAAAATTACTCTAAATAACTAATATTTAAAAAAAAACATCTTTAATTAGAACAACTCACTCAAATTGTTTCTTACCTTAAAAAATATAAAACAATTATTTATAATACATATCATTTTTAAGCAATTCATAATTGATTTTATTCTATTAAAAATTTCTAAAAAAAATTTTAAAAAAATTATTCTCTATCTTGTTCTTTTTCCATTTATTTTGATTTATTTATTTTTTAAGGTGTTTGATAAAATAATTATAAAATAAATTTAAACACTTATAATCCTATATTAGAGATATTCTTAGCTTGCTCAATAATAAAAATAAATATTTTATACATGAGTAGTTTAAAAATTAATTAAAATCATTTATATAAATATTTTTTTCTAACTTTGAATATTTTTAAATTTTAAATTCATAATATTATTTTTAATTTTA